AGCCTGTCCAGGTCCCTCTGGATGTCAGATATGATTTGCCCTTAATGAAGCCATGTTGGCAGCCACCAATCACCTCCTTATTTTCCATGTGCCTTAGCAGAGTTTCCAGGAGTACCTCCTCCATGATCTTGCTGGGCACAGCGGTGAGGCTGGCTGGCCTGTAGTTCCCCGGGTCTTCCTTTTTTTCCCTTTTTGAAAATTGGGGTTATATTTCCCCTTTTTACAGTCAGTGGGAACTTCAACGGCCTGTCACAACTTCTCAAATTTGATCGATAGTGGCTTGGCAAATTCATCCACTAATTCCCTCAGGACCTGGAGATGCATCTCATCAGGTCCGCTGGACTTCTGCACTGTCAGGTTCCTTAGATGGTCTCAAACCTGGTCTTCTCCTATACACTGAGTGGTTCTTCATTCTCCCAGTCCCTGTCTTTGCTTTCTGTGACTTGGTTGGTGTGGCTAGAGCACTTGCTGGTAAAGACTGAGGAAAAATTTATTGGGTACCTCAGCCTTCTCCATATCTTGGGTGACCAGGTGTCCTGTTTATTTCTGGAGAGGGCCCACGTTTTCCCTTGTCTTCCTGTTATCACTGATGTACCTGTAGAAGCCTTTCTTGTTGCCCTTAATGTCACTGGCCTGATTTAACTGTCTGGGCTTCAGCTTGCCTAACCTGATCCCTGATTGCTCAGACAACTTTGCTGTATTCCTCCCAGGCTACCTGTCCTGGCTACCACCCTCTGTAGGCCTCCTTTTTGTATCTGAGTGTGTCCAGGAGCTCCTTGTTCATCCATGCAGGCCTCCTGGCGTTTTTGTCTGACTTCCTCTTTGTTGCGATGCATCGCTCCTGAGCTTGGAGGAGGTGATCCTTGAATACTAACCAGCTTCCTTGGGCCCCTCTTTCCTCCAGGGCTTTATCCCATGGAACGCCACCAAGCAGATCCCTCAAAAAGCCAAAGTCTGCTCTCCTGAAGTCCAGGGTAGTGAGCTTGCTGTGCACCCTCCTCACTGCTCTAAGGATCTTGACATTTCATGATCACTGCAGCCAAGGCTGCTCTTGAGTTTCCCATTACCTACCAGCCCCTCCTTGTTGGTGAGAACAAGGTCCAGCATGGCACCTTTCCTCATTGGTTCCTCTATCACTTGGAGAAGGAAGCTATCGTTGAGGCATTGCAGGAACCTCCTGGATTGCTTATGCCCTGCTGTGTTGTCCTTTCAACAGGTATGGGGGTGGTTGAAGTCCCCCATGAGGACCAGGGCTTGTGAACATGAGATTGCTCCTATCTGTCTACAGAGGGCCTCATCTGCTCAGTCTTCCTGCCCCTGCCCTCCCTTTAATCCTGGCCCATAAACTGTTTTTAAGATTTGTTAATGTCTGGTGGGTTTTTTAAGTAATAAATCTATAAAATCTTTCTTACAGCTGAAATCAGGCATAGTGTTTTCCCACTTTAAATAGTCATGACTAAGAATATGTAAAAACCAGAAGCCCTGCCAAATAATTTTAACTCTTTTGTCTTGCACACATGGAATACTGGTAATTCTGCTGTTAAAATCATCATTGTATGCAGTTTATACCAGGGCATTCCATTATTAAAGTGCAGAGCAAGAATTATGTACAAAATGTTTTATGGAGGCTATTTCTTTCTCAGTTCATTATATAAATACATGCAAGTTTGTTTTACTATATCTTTAAGATATCTTGGTTCTTTATGTCCAGAATGTGATTAGAAGGCCCTGCAGTAATAGTATATTGCCTTTCCTGTTAACAGATGACATCCCTTTTCCTTGCTGTAGGTGAGGAGTCAGAAGAAGATTCAGATTATAGTGAAGGTGATGATGAAGACTTTGCTATGGAAAAGAAGAAAGCCAAAGGAAATAAAAAGAAAACCAGACAGAAGATGCCAGCTGAAAGAGAGAAGAAAAATCCCAAATCCAAGATTAATACTACAGGTAAGTTTGTCCATGAATTTGAAATAGATTTCTTTATAATAAAAGTTCCTTTTATTTTCACTGAAGGAATAGATAAATTTGGCTGACAAACTGACTGTACAGGGTTATGATGAAAATGACTATATGAAGAGTAAAGGGAGGAGAGTAGAAAAAAAATCCTGAATGAAAAACTGCTTTATAGTAAACTCACACTCCTTACAATAAAAGCAGGCTAAAGTGAATAGATGGAGTTAATTTCTTTTTATATATTTATAGTAGCTTTTAAGAAAAGGTTAAATAACAACCTGAGTTGTTTTGTTTGTTGTTGTTTTTTTAATGACAATCTCGGAGCTTCCTCTTGCAGTCACATTTATAAATTTTTAACTCAAGGGTAGCTAAACAATGCTAGTTCTACTAACCACTTGGTGAAAACCACCAAATATCCATGCCCTTCAGAGGTAATTGTTCACTATGTCACTAACGCAATTTACTTTAAAAGCTGAAGAAAATTCTTATCTTGATGATAATCTTGTGTCTGACTTGGTAATGTGTTTTAATTTTAGGCCTGAGTTTAGAACATGTAATTTGGTTTAAAATTAGTATTAGTTATGACAAGGGCTGGTTTGCTTTGTGTAGCTGACGGAAGAAACTTCCCACTTAGAAACTGGATATCTGGCAGGTCTTCGAGAAGAAATTGTTACACTGCTTATCTTCAAACCAGTATTGAAATTCCAGAGTATGGAGGACTGACTGTATTAATATATACTGTTAAATATGTGACAATTTATTCATTATTTCAATCAATGCAGAGGGCTTGTGCTGTACAATGATCTATCATATTATGCAGTGTGATGATTTCTTTGTTAAAGTATCTTTCTAAGGTGGCTTTTATTTTCCAACTAAGTATCACCTGTAGTTTCTCCTTCACGGATAATGGAACAAAAATCTGAGCCAACACGAAAGATGTCCAGTTCTTCAGAACCAGTTGGGAGGCCTTTACATACATCAAGTCCTGTAACAGACAAGAAGCCTAAATGGATACCACCAGGTACCTCTAAGATTATAATTATAAACAGATACATTAGTTGACTCAGTTTTTAGCAATCTCTCCTAAAAGCAAACCAATGAATAAACAGTATTTCAGAAAAATTACTGCCCTCTTATAATGAAAGGTATTCTTTTGACCTTAGATGTTGTTTTTTTTTTTTTTAAATCTATCGCCCTCTTCTTTCCCTCTTACAGTGTTATCCTTACGTTATGTGGGGAGGTTAATAAAATATTTTCCAGAATGTGGATCAAGTCTTAATCAAGAGATTGTCTTGTGACCATTTCTCTCTTATTAAGAGTTTTCTTTATTTCTGGTATTTGCTGCATTATTATCTATTCTAAAGAAATAATATTAGAAGGAGTTCGGAGTGTTTTAACTGCTTCAGTAAAGCTAATCCTTAGAAGATTTATCTTCTTAAAGTGTTAGAGCATGCTGCTGCTGACTTCTACCTCTTATTTTGATTCATATTTACTCTTCTTTCCTGAACACGTTTCTTTCTGTTTGGCTTCTTTCTCTCAAGCCTTCTTTTCCCTCTTGGAATTGTGTTCAGTTGTGTAGTTCTCTGTGGAGCACCTGAAAATGCACAGTACACTGGGAGCAGTTTCTATGTGCTTGTCCAGTGTGTTGGTGGTTACTTAAAACCGTGCACCATACTTGCTGCATTGGCTCCCAAATAGATTGATTCCTGGTGAGTATGCTGATTTTCATGTGCTTCTGTGGTATGTTGCTCAGACCTCTTTGCAATATCTTTAGATACTTTTTTTGTTCTGCTATAAAAACTGTAAAAAGACAATAGTCTTATGATTTTTTGTTCCCCTCTTAACTTCGTACACCTTCTTTTTGTTTTAAAATTATTTTCAGCTGCATCAGGAAGCAGTAATAACTCTATGAGATACGTTTCGGTTAAGTCACCTACCCAGTGTCTTAGACTTGGCCTCTCCAGACTAGCAAGAGTCAAACCACTGCATCCCAGTGCTACCAGCAGTTAAGTGGTCAATGATAAAGTGCCACATGAAGGAAAAGACTTTGGAAAGTGTTTTACTTCTAAATAGACGGTGGGCAGCAAAAGCTTCATGGCATCATCCACTTTGGAGGACTGTTGTTTATGTACGTGTCTAATATTATAATGAGTTTTTATTCTGCAAAGTGCTAGGCATCCTTAAGTACTACTGAATAATTGTATTATTTAATCAAAGTGACCTCTGGGTCACCAGCTCTTTGATGTATTATACTCAGAGTTGTGGGTTTGTGATAATTTTATTTCTCTGATATCTAAACTCTTGGCATTAAAATAGTCAAGACAGCACTATGTCAGTTATAGCATTTGATATCTCAAATGTATTCGTAACACAAGTGAAAGTCATAGTTTAAAAAATATTTCTTGGAAGACTTATCACTTTCCACCCTCTTCTTGGAAAGTTTGTCATTCTCTCAAAATCTGTTAATGTTTGCATATCTTATATGTGGATTTTAAGGAATTTTTATGTATTATAATTATAAATGTCTATAGAATGTTGTATTTTTTAAAAAACTAAAATAAAATACTTTATATAATCTGATTAATCATATTAATTGACTTTATTAATTTTGAAAATAAATTCTAAATTTTCGCTACAGTCCAGCAAATAGTTCTGTATCTGCATACTGTTGATGGAAGTCAGCAGCATTAGTCAGGCTCAGACAGTGAGGATTTTGCTTTGAGCTCCTTGGTCTTTGTTGAAGACCATGATACCATGCATAGTTAGTGGATTTTGTAAAGTGTTGAAATGATACTGAAATGATGTGATGAAATTAAATGATACTGAAGTGATGAAAGGATACTGAGTAATGAGACCGAGCTTTCAAACTTAGTAGTCCACAACATAAATAATTTCCTATCTAAGGGTATTGATTATGTCAGATGACACAGCAGATGCCTTTCTCCCTGTATTATGTAAGGGATCTGGTCATGACTGAGTGGAATATATAGAATCATAGAATGGTTAGAGCTGGAAAGGACCTTAAAGATCACCTAGTTCCAGCCCACCTGCCATGGGCAAGGACACCTTCCACTTGGCCAGGTTGCTCAAATGTAGCCCTATTCAGAGTAATTACACAGGCAAAAGCAGGGTGCTGCCGAAACGAAAACTAGAGTATGAGAAATTACTTTTTAACTGTATAGTACTTACATTATTAAAACAAGATAGTAATAAATGCCTGTTTATTAAAAGCAATATGCATTTTGCCTTATGGAAGGAATGACAAGAAATCTGTGGCTGAGAACGTGTTTCTCAGAAACAAGGAAACGTGGGCATTGTGACACACAGTCTCACATCATCCACATTTTGGATGCCTGGCTCCTGGCATGGAATCACATAGCCCTGAGTGTAGTGTGCTCCAGTGAGCTGGGCAAAGTGAGTTTAGGAGGGGAGGCATGTGCCTGCTGTCTCTAGTGCTTGCCTGACGTGTTCGTGAGTTGTCTTAGCTTGCTCAAATGCCACATCAAAAAACCACAAGTTTGCAGCAGGTTGCCATCAGATGAGCTTGAAACTGATCCCAAACAAGGGTGAAGCAGGGGTACCCACAGGAGGAAAGGTAGGTATCCAAGAGTAACGCTTGTGACAATTAGCGTGTAATATGTATGTTACATTATTTCTCTCCTCAATTCCCTTTGTGCTTGCTTACGTAGCCCCTTTCTGAGGTGTACAGTGGATAAGCAGCTGCAGCAAAATGGGAAGTACAGAGAGCCTTGGGTTTACAGAGTTTTCCGTTATGTCACCTGTCCTTGAGTCCCTCCTTTAGTTTATATGAGTTTCCAGTTCATGAGGATTTTCCAGTATTTCTCCATTTTTTTTTTTTTCTGAGTGAAAATTCCACATAGGCAATTAGAAAAAATGTCTTTGAAAGGGAAGTAGTAAATATTCTTGATTGTATGTTTCAAAGCTATTCTGTACCTGACCTGAAGAAAACAGGTCTTGCTGGTAGGTGCAGATTATTTTTATAAAAGACTGCTTCTTTTGTGTCCTAGGTTATTAAGGACATGATCAAAGGCAGCTAAATTGATTTAGGGGCTGTAATTGTTAGAGTAATTATTCTTTTCTGCTAGTAATGGAGAGGTTGTCTGTGTTATTCCAGCTGCTTTCAAGCTTGGAAAATTAGGGGGGGTTTGCTGAAAATAACATTTACAGTTCCCTCATTGCTCTAAATTTAAAACAATGCTACTTAGAATTGTCCGTGCATTGTTTTTCCAGAAGCTGCACAGTGGTATGAACATGAAACGTGTTTTGATTTCAATTTGTAAAGCAGGCAGAAAGTGTGTTGGTTTGTGTGTCAGAGTTCAGTTTTCACATACTTGCTGTTTCAGAACTGCATCTTTTTTACTAATACTAGTAAAAAAGAGTAAGACTGTTAAAAAGAGATTGCTGTTTGTAGGTGTAAGCTTTGCTGCCAACGCCCTCCAAGTCTCGTCTGTGAGTAGATACCCTGTCCGATAGAGAGATCACCTCTTGCTTCAGAACAGCAGAGGGGTTTTCCAGCATTGGTTGTGGCTCTGGGTAATCCTAGAGACGGAATCAGCTGCACAGCAGTTGAAAGCTGCCTTAGCACGGCTGCGTGAGCTGTGTCTGCGGGGACACAGGTTGGTCATACGGAACAGGGCTGCATCACAAACACACTCCGCAGAATTCCACAAGCCTGAAGACACTGTGCTCCAAGACTGATACATAGGCTTGGTCTAAGACAAGCTTAAAAAAAAAAAAAAAAAAAAAGTTAAAAATTTCTAAAATGTAAGGATACAGCAGTGTGAAATTGCTTTGAATGTTCGTAAAGCAGATTTATGTACCTCCAGATGTTCAATGTCATCAGTGCATCTCTCACTTCCTACTCTTTGCGAGTACTGATAATGCCACAAAAAAGAGGAGGAGATCACCGGGCAAACAAGACCAGCAGAAACCTACAATGCAAAAGTTTAGTACACTGAGCACTGAGTAGGTGGGATAAATCTGTGTGTCTGGGGACACATACGCCACCTCTTTGATTTGGAAGAATAAGAAGTCGTCTTCAAAATAGAGTTTTATCAGTGTTAGGAGTATGATTTTTTTTTTTATCCTGTTTTTCTAGTCTGTATACAAAGGTAAATTATTTAATGACAGAAAACAACACACATAACATTAAGAAAAATAAACAAAACAAAATCATTGTATATAATGAGAACTGAGTGAGTTTGGGATAGATAAATAATTGGTTGTAGTGACTGATGAGTTGTAAATTAGTGCAACAGATTCTAGAATGTGTGAGTAATCTTTGTGCTAAAAGCTGTTGTTTAGTGTGCTTATTATAAAATATTTTTCTACTTATTCATAAGTTCTGGAAAATAATTTGTTTAGGCTTTGTTTCTATGTTCAGACTCAGTGAAAGGATTGGACAAAGTAAGTGTGGAAGAGATTCTGAGCAGCTCATATCCCCAGCATGGAGGCAGGATCTGTTCATCCCATCTTGACAGAGGCTTGTCTAAATCTTCTCTGAGTGGTGGAGAGTCTCCAGCTTCCTTGGGTGATCTGTTCCAGAACTTGATTCTAGCAGGGCACACTGTTAGAGAGCTTTTCAGTAGTGGTAATAAGATGAGATCTTTGAGTTTTTCATGTAGCTGTTAGGCTTGTTACACTGTCCTACATCTCCAGGTATAAACTGATCTCTTCACACTCGGTAGAGCTGGAGTTTAATCAAAGTCTAATGCTGACATGTTGTCACATTGTTTGAATCTCTCTATGCAGTGTAATTCTTCCTCTTCCTCAAAATTTTGTTAACCAGCTCATGGATATTCTCCTAATACAGTTTTATCAGTCTGAGTTTTTCCTTTGTGTTTCTCTGTCTTGTCTTCCTGTTTCTGGTAATATATCTGGGAAGTAACATACGGCAATATCAAAATTTTGCTGCTGAGAAATTAATGCAACTTAACTGACCAGCAATTCTTACTGAGTAATCACAGAATCTCCTAGATTGGAAAAGACCTGTAAGATCATCAAGTCCAATCATTAACCTAACACTGACAAGCCCACCACTAAACCACGTCCCTGAGCACTCCATCTACATGACCCTTAAATACCTCCAGGGATGGGGACTCCACCACTGCCCTGGGCAACGTGTTCCCGTGCCTGATGATCACTTCCATTCTTTAGCGTTATCTTATAGAATATGATATGTGCAGAGGATGAGATGTGTCAAATCTCTATGAAATATGAAAAATCACTACCTACCACTAAATACTTCGTCAAATACACGTGCTGCTACCATCATCCTTAATCCATGCCTTTGCAAAGCATTCCATGAATGGCTTCACTGATTTTTTGCTTGTAGATTCATTGTATATTTGTTCTTGATATATTACCAATCCTGTTACCATCATAAGACAAACATCACTATTTCAACTTTCATTATTTCTGAAAAAACCTGAATATACTTTTGATTCAGTTACTCTCATCTTGTGAATAATTCATGATATGATTCAAAAGGTCTGAAACCCAGCCCTCATTTCCCTGGTCCGTATTGGTTCTTCTCTGATATACTGGTAATGTGAAATTCTGTATCTTTTGAGTAGCTAAATAATAAAGGTGTAACTTAATGCTTGCTCAGAGCCATGGGATCTAATAAGAGAAACAAACCTTTTCCCATTATTTTTGTAATAGCAACAAGAATGGCCAAATTCCATTTCCTGAGATTAATTGCATCAGGAATTCCATGCAACTCTGTGGGCTGCTCTTCCCTAAACTGTTCTTTAATTTTTGACAGGGGGGTTGGGTATAAATTAGAAAATGCACTACCTCTCTGTCTTTCATGTTTGGTCACTTTTATTACCTCAACTTTCTTTTACCCAATAGACTAGTAACCTATCAGTGCAAACCACAAAGATGAAAAACAAGTGTTACCACTTCCTGTGATCCTCTGCGCAGAAACCAGCTCTTTGCATTTTAAAACAGTTTGCCCTGCTACTTTGAAGAATTATTGGTCTGTC